CATGGAGAGACAGGGTTGGGCTAGATGAAGCAGGGACCAGGGTGTGGACATTCTTTTGGGGATCCTGTGGTTCCCAGGTGGTGGGTGCTGACCTAAGGGCCACCCTGTTCCCACCTTCTCCAGTTGCTGGGTGGGGGAGGCCAGAGTCTGGCAGGAATGGAGCAGTTATTTTTGACATCCAAAATGCAAATATCACGTATGAAGGAGGCAAAGAGCTCTGACAGTGAAGCCTGAATTCCAAAGTTCCTTCTGCCACATCCGCTCCCAGTGCTGGCCCCTCACCCCTCCTCACCCAGCGTCTGCAGTGGCATTTTGCAAGCAGGTGAGCAGCTGGAACAGGACCTAAGCTACTGTAGTTGTGTCTTCTCCGCCCAGCAGCCAGATGTGGGCCCTGCAGAGATGAGGCCTTGGAGCAAAGCAAGATGAAAGGGCACCTGCATTCCTCCATGCTGGTCCATCTACACACAGCCCTTCACGGGATTTCACGGCAATTGGGATTTTCTCCCTCAAGAAACATTCCTGGAGGGCAGTTCCCAGAGAATAATGGTTCTCCACCCCTCATGTGTGCTTCTTTCTGGCTGATAACCAGTCATCTGAACTAACCAGGGGCAAAGAAACCCACCAGCTCTTTATGGACATAAAAGGCTCAGTGGTGACCACCTGCTCCCAAGAGCCTCAGCTGGTCTGGCCTGGGGGTGCAAGGCTTGATCTGAAGATGCGAGACCTGACCTGGGGGTGTGGGGCCTGACCAGGGCTGCAAGATTTGACCAGGTCCTGGGCACATCCCCTGAGGAAGGCGGGTCTTTGATGATTTCAGAGACAGTGGCAAAGGGGAAAAGAGGTTAAAACCATTGTTTATTTAACAAATTATATTAAGAAGACAGACAATCACACAGTGAAACTCCCCTTTGCCAAGTACAAGAGTCACCTCAAATAAATACACACAAGGATAGCGTCACTTGGGTGAACACACAGCTGGCCCCTTGTTGGAGGCCTGGCTCGCTGGACCTTTTGCTTCGTGGTGATGGCCACAGCTGCCACAAACCATTGGGCCTGGGCCTTGAACAGATGAAGGGACCAGTGGGGAACCACTGGCTTTGAAGGAGGGAGTGCAATGACTGATCTCCTGCCCCAGGCTCCAGAATTAAGGTCAGCAGTGAACTGAATTAGTGGAGCTCAGCCTTTGTGCACTTCAGCAGCTCAGCTGGAGTCTGCTTTGTCAAGGTCAAGGCCCAGCTCCTCAGGCACACCAGGTCCTCTGAGGCTCCGGCCCGGGCCTGACACTCCCAGTCAGTGGCTGGCAATGGCACTGCTGGGGGGGGGGGATCCACAGACCTGGGGGGCCTGGAGACTGGGGGAGCCCTTGTCAGGTGGAGTGATGGGGCAGGCTAGCTCTTGACCTGCTCAGCACCTCCGACCCCGTATGCCCCTTCCCAGTGGCTGGGAAGTGCATTATGGGATGGAAACAAAGGTCAGTGTGAGGCACATGCTCATGACAGGGCAGCTGGTCCAAGGCCTTTGGGGCCAGATGAGACGTGGAGTCAGAAGGCAAAACCTTCCAGTGCTGCTTACCAGCCATGCACCATGGACAAGCTGCAGTGTCATCATGTGTTAACAAGGAGCAAACAACACTCACTTCAGGGTTTAAAAATCTTTTAGGTGGGGGAGTGGGAGGGGATTGAGAAGATAATGTGCTTAAAGTGCCCTGCATGGTGCCTGGCAGAGGTCGGTGCTTAGAACATCTCATTCCTTTTGGCCCCTGCCTGCCCTTCTGGCATCAAAGGAGCCAGGCTGTGGGCTCTGCTGTGCAATGGACTCTGGTAGGTGTAGGAGCAGCCCTCCCTGCCCCAGTCCTCCCCTGACCCTGTGGCTGGCATCAATTCTCATGCATGGGGTGGGGGAAAAGCTTTATTTTAAATTAGCATGTGAATTTAGAGCCAACTTTTGACTCCTCATCCTTGTGCTATTTTCAAGGCCCTTGAAAAGATGCACTGGCTTTTCTGAGGGACAGGACAGGCAGTGGGAAGGACAGGTGACAAGAGGGCTGTGCTCTGGTCTGGATCTTCTCCATAGGGTCAGGGGGTTGGGAAGTGGTGGCTGCTGGGGGCACAGGGCTCCAAGGAAGAGGCTGCCACCTTTACATCTCCAAAAATTCCTCTCTTTCCTTCCCCACAGTGGTCATGAAAGTCTATGAAGACATTTTTCAAAAAACAAATGGTCATGTGATTCCTAGCATGAGCCAAGGCTCCATGTATGAATTCTACTGGGATCTGCATGATCCCACACGAGGTGGACACGAGTGTACACACACACACGCATGCACGCACACATGCCTACTACCACACCACACACTGCTTGTCCTTACCCACCTTCCAGAAGGCAAAGAAACAGAAGGTTGGGAGCAGCCTAAACTCTACCACAGACACCATCTTGTCCTTAACACTGTCAATGCCTACTTATTTTAAGCTGCTGTTTAGTACAACGTTCACAGTCAAGGTTATACCTAAACTAGTTGTGTAATGCTACGGAGACCCTCTCTCCAGTGAGCAGTTTGCACAGGTCAGGCCTGTTTCCTGGTGGTTCCTCTGGGATGGACACACCGGCTGGGCCCAGTGGGGGTGGGGGACCTGGCTGGGTCTGGATTCAAGCAGGGTCTCAGGAGGGGGTGTGAAAGGGGAGCAGGCAGCCCTTCCTCCTTCCTCCCCCAGCAGCTGCTTCCACTGCTGAGCTCATCTTCTTGCTCGAAGATGAGGTTACTGTCTTTAAACCTTCAAGAGCAGCTGAAAGGGTGTCGTTCTCGAGGGAGGAGGGAAAGGGCACCACCACTGCACACTACCTGGTAGGACAATGTCATGATTAGGGTGGAGAGAGACCAAAACACAAAGTGCATGAAACAACGTGAACGAGATGGAGTGGCCATATCCTGCCCCAGGCCCTCTTCCTATCAGGCCTGAGGACCACCTTTCTCTCTCTCAGGTGTCAAGTGACACTTGATCACATGGTCTCGGGTTAGCCACCTATCCAAATAGCAACAGTGAAACAAACAGGTTCTCTGGGTTTCACCTATGAAACCCCCTCGAAATCAAACCCGCTGCCACCGAGCAGACCCACAGTCTTTTGGAGCAGAATGTGCCTCATGGGCTTTCCTGGCCGTGACCTTCTGGAAGCACATTACCAGGCCTTTCTTGCAAGGTGTCCTGGGGTGGGTTTCTTCTGGTTAGCAGATGAGTACTTAACGGCTCACACCACCCAGAGGCTCCACAGGGACCGCCCTCCAATCCCCATCTCCAAACAAGCAGCTTATTTCAGTGGATCCATTTGAGATCAGTCTGTCAGCAATCCTGGTTCAAGATCAGGCTCACAAGAGAGGCTCACAGGGGCTCCGTCTCACAGGACTTGTGGGCAGGGAGGGGGTGCTTTTCCTATCATCACACTGTGTAGGGGGTACTGGGCCCTGCCCCCACCAGGAGAGGTGGGGAGAGGCAGCCACTGTTCCCAGACACAGAAATCCAGAGGTATCGAGGCTTGACCAAGCATGTTCTGGCCAAAGAGAAGAGTGGACGATCTGATGAGGAAGAGTTGGGTCCTCAAAAGGGTCTGAGGGTCTTGGCCACACAGGGGGCTGATGTAGGTGCATGAGGTAATTTTGCCCTGGCCTCACTTCTGCCCTCCAAGCTAGGCTGCCAGTTCTTCCTCCTGAGGGGCTCTGCGGCCGGCTGAGGCATCTGCTCTCCTGGACTTGCGGAAACTCGCTGCTTTTCCATGATCCATCACGTTCCAGCCTCCAGACACATGCATCAGACTCCCTCGTCTGAAGATCCAGCCTCTAGGACCCATGAGACAAGACAGCCATCCATGGCAGGTGGGATAGAGGAAAAGCACCTGGCAGCTGGACAACAAGAAACAAGGCCCGTGCAGGCAGCAGTGGCCTTTGCTCTCCTGGCAGACGTGCCTGAGTCCATCGTGGCAGCAGCGTCTCCAGTGACCACTTGTGGTGGAAGTGTCAGTTCTGGCTCAAGTTTGGCGACCTGGGTCAGATGGGCTTTTGTTCAGGTGAACAAACGACTTGTTCCTATTAGGAGATGCCACCAAGACACACCTGGTGTCTGGGAGAAGCCAGGGGTGCTGGGCTGGTGCCCTTGGAGGCTGGGTGGCCCTTTCCCTGTGGCAACTGGAGTCAGGGCACCAGCAGAGGCAGTTAGAGCTGCAGTTGGCACATGGGCATTCCCGCCCTTGAGGGGGAAGGGAGTGAACCAGAAGGGCACAGCACCTTGGGCAGCAAAACTCACATTCCACGCGGTCACCCGCAGCCCTCTCCCAGGATGGCTGGTATCTTGTCCCAGGAAGTCTGGTGCCTGCTGCTCCTCGGCTCTGGACACTTGGAGTATAACGTCACAGAGGCCACACGATGTCCACACAGGGCCAGGCGCGGGGCTCCCGGCCATTCCAGGGGCTGTCAGCTTCTCGGCACTGAGCTTTCTCAGGTTTGAGGCAAGTGCCCAGAGTACTCAGTCCCATCAGCCCAGCAGCTTGCCTGAGGCAGCCTTGGACCAAGGTCACTGGCAAGGTGGAAGGGCCTGTGCAAAGCTGCCCCCCTGAAAGCCTGGGCTCTGGGGGTCTCCCACAGTAGTGTCAGGGCTGGGGAGCAGGTGCCACCCACTCCTTTAGGGTGACTCCTGTGGCGTGAAAGGGCTTTGCCGACTAGTCATTACACAGACACATTAGGAGCTGCTGGCTGCTACAGCACAGATTAGTTGAGGTTATGAACAAGGGCCCCAGGGAGGCTGGGGTGTCATGTCAGGCAAGCCAATGATGATGACGAAGAACGTAACAACTCAGAAGTCCAGAGTCTTGGAGACAAGGCCCCAGGGCACGCGAGGAGGGCTCTGGCTGAGGGTTGAGGGGTCAGGAGGGACGGACGGAGGGGTGACCGCAGCCCCAGTGGCCCCCGTCAGTAGTCTGGGCAGGAGGCTTGTCCCTGTCCCCACGGCTCCTCACAACTGTCATCTCAGGACTGCGAGACCTGCTGACACCGGGTGGGGCTGGGCGGCAGCCTGGCCGCGGCGCTCTGCTCCGTGCGGAAGCTGTACTCGTACTGCGGGGAGAGGGGGACAGAGGGGCATGGTCAGTCCACAGGAACCCAGAGAAACCTTACACATACACACCTCAGACAGGACAAGGGCCGGTCACCTTGCTGGGCACCTGACCATGGAGACGGCGGGCAGGGCTGGGGTCAGCAGTGCTTCCCCCTGAGTGTCCACGGAAGGGGTCTGCTCGCGTTTGCTGAATGACCCAGGGGTCCACGTGCCTCTGCTGCTGGAGGCTGTTAGGCTTGGGGACAGTGGTACCTCTCACAGACCCTGCTCTACTCCCTCCAAAGTGTGCCCATGGCACAGCAAACACAAGGTGAGCATCCCTGTCCCACTCTCATAGCTGCTGCTTTGAAGGGAGATGGTCACATGCTAATAAATGATCAGTCTTTGGACTTGACTCTGAACGTGACTTAAGGTTGGGGTTCAATCACAAGGCAAAGGGCATCCTCCGCTGCTACTGTCCGGAGTGGCCGGGTGGTCTGGTTTCCAGTCACAATGCCTGTGACAGACACTGTGAAGGCACAGGACACATGGAAGGGGCTTCTGGAGCGTCTCCTGGAGGCCTGGGTCCCCTGTGAAGCTCCTACATCATCACAGCCATGGCATGAGCAGCAGCCTGGCTTCACATCCCTGTCCCAGGCCTGTCCTGTCCTTGACCAGCTCACGTTGCCTCCCTGGTCCAAGAGCCTGGCTGTGCCAGAGCCTGACCCTCGTGTGTAGGAACCGAGCTACAGGAAGGGGCAGAGGCAGGTCTAGGTCTGATGGATGCAGGGCAGGGCTCTGACAGCAGGGGGAAGGACGGTGGTGGGGCACGTGAGCTTCTCCTAGAATGCCAGTTGGGCTCTCAGCAGCCAATGTGGGCAGAGGTGTCCAGGCAGAGGAGCAGGTTCTACCGAGGCAGGGCAGGAGTGGCCATCCCCGGGGAGACAGGCCTGCCAGGCTGGAGGGTGGACTCTGAGGGTCTGAGGCTCTGGGGCAGGGTCTGGCAGGCTACCCCATGATCGTATGGACTTTACGAATGAAGGGCTTATACTGGTTGTCAATATCTTGGAATTACATAAAAATCTTTCAGCAAAATTCCCAGGGCTTCCTCACACACACATAGGTGGAAGTGGAGCTGCCTGAGTTGACCTCAACCTCTGCATGATGCCAGCTGCCCTGGGACCCCCCCATAATGGACTCAGAGAGGGAGAGGGAGTCTGCTCAGTGAGGGGATGATCACTGGGAGAGTGGTGTCCTAGGAACCCACCCAGGGGGTGCTGCAGACTCCAGCTCAGTGGTGGGGTCTAGTGTCCTGCCCACCTCATCCCCTGAGGCTACCAGGTGCAGACCTTGACCACTTGGAGTGACTGCCTGCAGCCAGGGTGACCATGTAGGCAGGAGGGTAGCTGTGGCACTGAGGGGCACTAGGCTCAGAGCAGGATATCAGCGTCACTCGAGGGGAGGAACTGGCAGGGCACCCACCCACAATCACGGCTGTTACCCTGGCCGCTCCTACTGAGAGTCCCACAGGGCAGGATGGGATGGACAGGCCCACAGTGATCTTGTCTGGGGTTGAGGAGCACTGAAGGCTGGGCTGGCCGATCCCTGTGTGAACAGTGGGGTGAGTCCCCCGAGTTTGAAGCCACCAGGGGCAAAGGGCCAGGAGGGGAAATTATGGAGCCATGGTCCTGTACACTGCATCTGCAATTAAGAGCACTAGGGAAGGAAGGATTTGACATTGCAGGCTGGCCCCAGGTGACCTCTCCTCTGAGCCTCAGCGAACTCTAACTTGGGGTGAGGATCTCTTCCAGGGATAGCTGTGAAGATGGAATAGGGTGGGTAAGGACCTTGCCTGATCTTTCTTGGTTCCAAGTGTTCACACAATGAATATTCAGTATAATTAGTCAAAACAACTCTCAGGTCCTCAAGCTCCTGTTCCCTAAATGACCAGGACACAGAACATGGTCTGGGACTCCAGCTCCCATAACCCCAAGTGGAAAGTGATGCAGCACGAGGTACGGCTCTGAGCAAAGCCCAGGATGATGCTGCCACCTTGTGGCTCGTCGGTTAAGTGCATGGCAGGTAACCCCAACAAATCCATTTCCTCCTTGGCTTTGATACTTTTTTACTCATGACAACTAACCAGTGCTGAGCGCTGTGGCCTGGGATGAATCTGGCACATGGGACACATGGACAGCACTTCTGAGGTCACAGCTGCTCTATAGCCTGGAGGGAGCCAGACCATCAATGAACAGGTACCATTTTAACTGAGTTTTAAATGGAAGAGAAGGCTGTCTGGGGTGCAGAATTGTTGTTGGAACTGACTCATAGATGACTCTCCAGAGGGTTTTGAAAGGCTGTAAATTGCAGGGGAGGAGACTACCTACCTTTCTCCTGCAGAGCAGCTGGTTGATTAAAACTGTGTACCTCTGTGCTGCCAGTACTATTCTCTGCCACTAAGCCACAATAAGGGGAAGGGCGAAGAGGAGAGAAAACAGCAGGTGTGCGGGCACAGAGGGGAGAAGGCGCTCTGCTCTGCGAGCTGATGGGCCTAACCCAGCATGAGGGTGGGGGACGAGGGTGGACGGCTGCAGGGCCCGAGGTCAGCATGAGTTTTAGCCAGCTTTTCGTTTTCAAGGGTCGTAATACCCACACCAGCAAAGCCAGTCATTCCTAACCAGGTGTGCACTCATGCACACACACACACACCCCGCTCCCCTGATTCCAACATGAATGCTGCTGCCAGAGCTGCTGGGGGCGGGTGGGAGATGGTTGAGGAACGTGTGGATTATTCTGCAAAGGTTTATTCTGATGAGAAGCTTGGTTCCAGAAGCCATGGACAGAGAGTGGGAAGGGATGGAGGCGGGGACCAGCTCAGTCTGTTAAACAGAAGTGGAGCAACAAGAATGATCGTTACTCTTGGGACAGCAGGGTGTGTGTTTGTGTGTGTGTGTGGGGGGGTGTGGTTAGGCCACTACCCAACATGGGAGGGAAAGGACATGGGTAAAGTTTTGTCATTTGCTGGCGTGAGGTCCCGGAGGAGCATGGGGAGGAACACAGATAAGAAGCTGAGAATCGCAGGTACTTGGGGGTAACTGGACTTCTAATTTGTGGGAGTGTTGGGATAAAAACACACAAGGTCAGAAGACAAGCTGACAGGTCCACGCCTGTGAGGACAATGGAGGGCTCATGGTGTGGCCCCTGTGAGGGGGTACCTAAGGGATGAGGAGGAGACAGGTGGTGGGGAGGTGTGAGCAGAGCCTCTGCCACAGAAACTGGTTGGAATGGCCACTAAGGTGTCTGGAGACCACCTGGTGCTGTTAGGAGTGGGGGTGAAGGTTAGAGACAGGCTCCACTTTGGATGTAGGTTAGTGATGCCTGGGAAGGCAGCAGAAGTGACACAGTCCCTTAAACGAAGGGAAGACCAGGGCCGGCCACCAGTATGGTGATGCCAAACACAGAGGTAGACAGTTCTCAGTGGTGGGCATGCCTGCCTCTTTGGTAGACTGTGTGGGCTCTGTAAAGGTGCCAAAGGACCTGGGACAGGCATAGGGACACAAGGGCAGCCTGGCCCTTTGGTTTACTGAGGGCTGTTTGGCAGCAGAAGGCAAATGAAGGGAGGCTGAGTGTTGAGAGCTGGTGAGCATGGGCCATGAGCTGCACGAGCTGCAGACCTGGGAACTGCAGACCTGGGAACTGCAAACCTGGGAACTGCAAACAGGTCCAGAGGGGAGTCTGTGGCTTCCTGAGTGGGAAGGTAGGGGAGAGATGGGTGGGAGCAGGATATTTCTAAGCCAAGGAGGACTGTGGCTTGCAGGAGTGCACATGGGATCTGTGTGGGCAGGGGTTGGAACAAAGTGCCCGGGGGGATAGTAGATAAGCCTTCAAGGATGACCTGTTAAATTCCTATTTCACTCAAATTTGGAGGCTGCAAGGAGCAAAGAAGAGCTACTTGCATTTTGCCTGTTCCCAGTCTGAGTATATAGGAGACCAGGGGCCCACTCCCCGTCCTACACTTCCCCTGCCCTGGGAGCACCTCACTCTTGGGATTCCCCCCCCCTTTTTAGGTTATCCTGGAAGCTGCAGAAAAGCACTGCTCCCACCCCTTGTTTTCCCAAACTCCCCAAATGAAATTTCAATATATGTCCCCCGACATAATCCCCCTTAGGCTGCGGATAACCCTTCCCACAGACGCTGTCCTCTGCCCGAGATTGCTTGTCCCGAAAGTGTTTGCCCAAGAGACTAGGGCCGCTTCTGGAAGCCCTCTCGCCCCCTTGGGCAAACAGCGAGTACCTTTGAAGGTGGATTTGGATCCAGATATCTGTTTACTCAAGACATTATCCGCCTGCATAAGGAAAACCTGCACTCGAATACAAACAGCAAATCCTTTTTGAATTAAAAAAATTTTTCAATTAAAAAGCATTTGGGTTCACGTAGCAGAGCCGAGCCCAGCCGAACAGTCAGTCCTGTGCGAGGGCGCCCTCTGGTGGTAAGAAGCCACCATTACAATAACATGGACGCTCCAGGCCCCAGCAGCCTCTCAGGAAGCGACTTCATTGTCAGGGCGCTTTCCAGGGGCCCTGGGAGCAGTACCTTTGATCCGAGGACCCTGCCACTGACTGCATCAGGCGTCTCAAACCTTGGTGCCAAGAGTCGCGGATTTCAAAAGCATTTTTTAATGGCTAGTTCAATGTCCAGTCAATAGACTTGTCTTCTCAGCTGAAAAATGGGGTCTCTCACTCAATCAGTTCCCCTTAATTTTGACTCACAGTGACCCTATATTTCTGAAGCGACAAAAATCTTAACTGGAGGAGATTGTCTATCTTTTTCCTGCTGAGCTGCTGGTGGATTCGAACCATTAGCTAACTACTCCAAGCTTTTTTTGTTAGCAGCACGACATGCTACCAAGGAAGCCACCAGAGCTCCCTTATGAGCTAAAATGTTCTGGCTGCTATGTGTTATTGAGTCATAACTGACCCACACCTGACCCTACAGCAGGCTTTCAGAAGCTGGAAGCTGC